TTTTATTTTATTTCATCTGTTTTAGTTGGTAGGAATGGTTATCTTCACATGCTTTTGTATTGCAGGCCCGCAACTCCCGACATTGACGTCACAAGCTGGTATACTTTAATGGCCCAACACCACATACATCCTTCTGTATCGGTAGTCCATCACTTTCGAGCCTTTATGTCTTTGCGATTGAAGCAAAATATCATTAATTGGTTGATCTTTTTACAGTACCTCCAATATGTTATACTTCTTCAGGATGTCAAAATATATTGGGAGTTTAAATTGTTAAAACTCTAAGTTAGTCTGAACAAGTAAGGAAAGTGTCATCTTAGTTATCAGTCTCAATAGCATTACTAAGAAAAATGAAGATATATTTACCTATAGATGGTAGAAAAAAATATTACAACTCGTATAGCTTATCAATTTCAGACTATGCAGCTGTTATGTGGGGAAAGGTAGCGTGTGAAGTTTGATAAAAAAAAATCCTCAAGGAATAACGCCGCTAGAGCGTTGGCAATGAATTTTGTAACAAATAGTAACGGTGACCTTATCCTTGACCCAACAACCCTGAAACTCGAACACAGACGGACGGAGAGGAAAACTATAGTCCCCCTGGTTCCACCGTTAGGGGACTAATAAATCTGTATACATTATATATAAATATGTATACATTATACTCAGGTCACCGTTGAGGCCCAGTGACCTCTTGTTTCTGTAGCACTCACCTCAGATCATTTTATAGTTCCATACAGACGACGACATCGGGGATCGAACCTTGGCCGTATGCTTGGAAGGCTAATCACTCGGCCAGTCCACCCATTTAACTGTAGAGAAAGGTGTCCATTTGACAGAGTTTTTATGATTGATGATTAAACTGTTGGGAGGGATGTTCATTTCACAGTGTACATGAGTTATGCTTCCACTGCAGAATCAGGTGTTCATTTATACGTAGCGAAAGGTGCATCAACTACGGCATTGTTTCGGTAGTATTTTGATGTAGCATTTTTGATCATCTACAAATGTGTTGATGGACAAAACATGGATTTATTTTACGTGCTTATGATGGAATCTATATAGTTGTATCATTTATTGATTCATGTCTTCATTTTTTTTTTACTATTTGAAGAATTTCTATCATCTATTGATACCCAAAAATCATGGTTCATTTGTATTGTTTTATGATGGAAAAGATTTAATACGGTTTTCTGTAATGTATTGGTACACCAAACAACGATTTCATTTTGGTTGATTTACAATGTAAACTATTTCTATCAAACCTTGATGCACCAAACATGGCTACATTTTGAGTGTTTTATTTTTCAAACGATTTCTATCATGTGTTGATGCAACGTCAATGTTATATTATGCGTGTTTTAAGATTGAAACGACTTTCATCATGTATATTGATGGACCAAACGTTGCTTTTGTTTTGCATGTTTTATGATGAAATTAATGTTTACCATGTATTGATGCATTAAACATATTTTGCATGTTTTATGATGTCAACGATTTCTTTCATTTACTTATGCACCAGGCATGCTATTATTTTGCGTATTTGTTTATTGAAACGATTTATATAATGCATTTATGCACCAAACATGGTTATATGCCAAATATTTCCATCATGTATTGAACGCACCAAACACTGCTTTATGTTGCGTGTTTAAAATGAAGTTTATTTATATCATGTACTGATGTAGCAAACAGCCTTATTTTGGGTGTGTCATCATAGAAACGATTTTCTATCATGTATTCATGCACCAAACGACTTCATTTTGCGCGTTTTATGATAAAACGATTGATATCGTATATTAATGCATCAGACATGGTTATATCATTTTGGGTGTTGTACAACGGTGTATAGTCGAACTGTACAGTCAGCTGGAAAATGTAACATCCGATTGATCATCGCAAGTCCTGGTATGTTTACGATCACTTCGACATATTCTACTAAGATTTTCGGTAATACACGCTAGGGGAGGTCTCTTACATGTAGATAATTATTAAGCGTCATTTATGTTTTATACTCATGTATTTTATACATTTAGCAAATAATGAATACGTTTCGAACACGTAGGCCGTTGTGCTAACCACTATGTACAAGACAGATTAACGGAAACGTAGCTATACGTTTGAATATCGTGTCAAGGAGTAACTTTCAGAACAATTGTCGAATCTGGTGATATTTACAGTCAATTCCTCACCACTGTTATTGATATACCATCCATATATCACAAGTTCTTAGACATGATTTCCTCGTGTGTTGAAGCGAAATATGTACGATCAGCTGGCCGGTCGACTATTTACATTGTATAAAAAGTGTACTTCTGTAATCCCAGCCATGAGTTGTATGTTTATTTCTTGCTGTCAATTGCTCAGAAATGGACGATAAATAGAATCAGAGGGGCTCGACGAAAGTTTTAGCGAAGTGGGCGATGACACAGAGTTAATGTGTCGTTTTTGAGTAATCGGAAGTACATATGTACAATCTGACGAGACACGAACGCATTGTACATAGGAAAGATCCTGATGGGTCCACCGAAGATACACGTCAAATGGAAATGTATGTGCGGAAAGTCTTTCAAAACTGGTGAAGGTCTGAGGCTGCACAATAAGGGAATCCACGAAAACACATTTAAATATACATGTGCAGTGTGCCAGAAATGATATAACAGTCTATGGAATTACAAAGGCCATCTTGCGTCCCAAGACAAAGCTCTCGAGGGGAGATGCGATAAATGCAAGTCCACATTGAGGTACCGCAGCAGTTTAGTTAATCACAAATGATTTGCGACCGTGCCGACCCTAGGGAACGACATCACTGCGATACAAGAGCACACCACTATTGTTAGTATTGTACATGAATAGAAGAACGCATTGTCCAAACGACCACTTTCTGCAACATTATCCTCTTCCAATGCCTCGCAAGTAGCAAAATCTAATTTCTAAGGGGTTGGTTGCCACCTCGATTTTTCAGCGTTTGCTGAGGAGATAAAAATGTGGGTTGCCTTGATATTTTGATTGTTAGCTAATCATTATCTATGGAATAATTTTGATTTTATTTTTTTTATTTTTATTTCAGAATATTTTATTGTACTGATCTGATGAACAAAAGGAATTGGGCAACAGGCATAGCCTATATATGAAATTTTTCATGTTTTCTATTATTTTTGTTTCACTTTGTTGTCTAACATTTATTGTAAATACAGAGTTGGATGTTTGGTGATAGTGTGGTCCATTATATCAGCAAACACTTTGGAATGATTTAAGCAATAGTAACATGCATAAGTGGTTGTGTTATCTTGTGACCTTTATCTTGCATTCTATACCCAGCCATCCCAAGATGTCCTCGTACACCAAATCTGGATACTAGAGGTGCGAAAGTATACCGACCCTCAATTTAACCCGAAACCGATTGCCGGTGTTAAAAACTAGATCACTTGATCGTTCTGTTGATATGGGTTTTCCAAGCAACGGTCGGTCACATGTTACTTAAAATAGACGCTCATGTTTGTGTCAAATTGCTTCCAGCATTAGCAAGTGTGTTACCCAAATTTAGCCACCTCGTGTGTTTACTCAATATCAGGAAGTAACCCGATTACAGCTGGTTTAGTCTTGGTCTATATAGGGATCTGCGATTCAAGTAAGTATTGTAATTTTATTTCCTCTCGGTAAAAACTCGTATAGGCATGTTTCTCTCTAGTTGTTGATTTAACTATGAAAACAGGGTGTTGGCCGCGGGTGAGGACAAAACTCGGAATGCACTTAGGCGTGAAGAGAAATTTGAGGATTTTTTTGTATTTATTAGGCCTATTTGCTAATGGATTTTTATTCGGAAACCAACATAAGAAAGATAATTTTATACCCGTTAAAATAGTAAGTTATGTGAAGCAGTATTTTAAATTTGAAGTGAAAGTGGTGGCCGGAATAAACCACTTTCAAAAAAATGGCAATATTTTCAGCAGTATTCGTTCAAATAAATACTCATACTTCGAATAATATTGAACCGGTTTTTGTTCTGAGACCATTCCTGCCAAGGGAATGTTGCACTCTTTAAGATGGTATCATATGTTTGAACAAACCTTACATATTTATCGCAAATATTGGTGGCCGGAATGAATCGAAGTCGTTTGAAACATAATACAAAAATATCAAACTTTCTCGTACATTTCTGTCTTTCTCGACCTATAACTCGTTATAGTATTTTGTCTCGTAGAGTTTCATGTCTTTACTAGTATAAAAGTTCTGATGGCAAACGAATAAGGGTCACACCGAGGGTATCAGTGTCACACTCTAATGAATGTTGTATTGGTACACGTTGTAACACCATCTAAAATTGTTCTGAAAATGTCTTTGAATTCAGATGCAGCGGTACAAAAAATCCAACACAGTATCATGTATAATTTAATTGTCCCTAGTGGACAAACAAACATATATGCAAATAATTAAGAAATATAGTTACCTGAAGTGCTAAACATATAGCTGACTGTATATTATATGTATAGGATCTTACATGAATATCTATTTTACATAAGATGTATGAAACGAGTCTAAGCATTTTTCATTTGGCTCGCTAAAATGAAAAATTCATGACAAGTTTCATAAATCTCAAATGAAATAAAAAATGAGTGTTATATCCTTTTATCACATAATAATCAAGATTTGTGGTATTTATTCGTATTAAACGACAATTTGCATGCAACCTTGAAATGTGAAAAGCCGCCATTTTGACTCCAGCGCGTAAGTATGTGACGTAATGTTCTTGTTCTAAGGCGTGACATCACTATTGAAACAATTAAAATTTACAACCAATCACAGGGCTGATAGGTCATATTACATGGATTATTACCCAAAAGAAAATATTACATAGGTATATTCACTCGACAATACAGTACATTATTTGATACATTAGTACTCTGAAAGTGGACTCCAGGTAGATTTGGAATTCACACCTGGTGCGCATGTGCCAAAATGTTTCCTGGAGTTTTAACTGAGTGCAGTCGGAGTTAATTAAGTGCTGACTCGGTATGCGGAGGGGCACAGTTTATAATCTATCAACAAGATCCAAAAATAGAATATGATTCATAACACAATTTGGTCGAACCTCTCGGTGTTAAGGTAGATACTTTGATCACGTGGTTTATTATAGTAGATTATGTCTTCAGAATTGCCCGCGATATATATTATGTTCACGGAAAGCTAAGCAGCGGAGGGAAGAGATCGGATGGCAAATAGCTATAAGTAAGTTTTATTATTTCAATGTTTATGTACTTGTGTATATTATCTCCATGTTTATGTGAGTTCAACGAGGTGTACTATGTTAAAGTGATACATTGTTTATGTTTATTTTATGTCATTTTATAGACAGTAGTTGACACAAAACAAATATTGTAACCGGTGGATGAAATATATGCCTACTTGCACAAAAAAGAATAAAGTAAATCGTAGTAACTCATGTATTTGATGTGAAGTCGGCGTCAGATATACTTAAAGCTGGTAATTTGAATTTAAGGACGAATATCATTTTACTCTTGATTATTATGACCTTCGCCCTTAAAGAAGGCCAAAGGGCCGACATATTGGGACTTAGATTGACATTTGTTCTATAACTTTATCTGTTTTTCCTTTGGAAATCATCTGTAGTTTATTATGAATGAGGTTAACAAAGCATTTTTATAAAACGGGAAACCGATAAGCATTAATTGCGCTTAAATATTTGCTTTCTAATTGGCAGTGAAATTGCATGAAATACGATATCATTATGCATGAAATCTTACAAAAAGCATAAATGTCATGCGTAAAGTTTAGTCATATTAACATTTCTGAATTTTAGACACATAAATGTGAACAGACCAACGTAAAAAAAATGCCAGAATATACCCCAATGTGTTATAGACATTTTGTTTATTGTTATTTGAAATTAGATAAAATGCTTTATTGCTAAAGGCCTTTACATCATTAAAATATGGTAACGATCTTCTTCATGCGGTTGCACATTCCAAGTTTGACAACCTGGTTGAGAAGTCGTGCAGGGTGAGAAATCGTGTCTGGGTGAGAAATCGTGCCGAACAATCGTTTCATAAGATAACCGCAGACAGCATTTTTTAATGAAAAAGAAACGTAAATATCTCTGTCAATACGCAAGAAATAACCTAATACTTTCATTTAAATGCATTCCATACATAATATCAGCTGCAAAATAATTCAGGTCAAATTATTGTCTTGTGGCAGTCTCTTTATAAAGGTTGTGATACTTTACAAATGAAGTCAGCAAAGAGGAAAAATAGATATAGGGGAACGAGGATGTTTCCTCATTTGTCTATTTATTGATTCATGTTTGTTTTCATTTTAAATAACGCTCATCAAAGTTAATACCTATGGTCACATAAAAAAAAACGTGTTTTCGTTAGACGTCTGGTTCTACTTTGCGTATTTGTATAACATAAAAAACACAACATTATATGATGTTCGAGATGAAATAATGTTTGTGTAGAGATATTCTTCGGTATAAACTACTGGTGTATCCCCTATATAAATTGTAACTTAATACATAAATCTTCGTTTCTAGTATGTTGCATAAATCCAAAGGAAATCATTAATATAATCAAAAGATAACAGTTTTACAACGAAATTGGGTACGATCAGGGATTAACTAGTTTCACTTCAATCTAATTATATGTCACATATGTATAATATTCCCCAGAGATATTCACTGTGCAACATAACTTAAATTTATGGTTTATTTTGCTGTTACTGTGCACACGTCGAGACTATTTTGATAGCAAAAAACATTTTAAGGTTATATACAATTCGTTCAAGCAATGCAATTTTCAGTCATTTCAAGGAGCTTCGTGATTCGACATTAACTGGTATTCCTATGCCATATGGGTAGATACCTTCGCTTGTACATGTATGTATGTGACTGCTCATGTGCTTGAGGTGTATATTTGTTGTAGTTTGCATTCTGACCGTGCGCTTTGTTTGTATGCTGTTGGGTTTTTTGTTGTTGTTTTTTAGGGGGGGGAGGTGTAGTGTTGCCCTACTGTAATCCTACAATACACAATACCGACACTTAAGTCTGTAAGTGTATAGTATATAAAAGGTAATCAAAAAAACCATTTTTTTCTTAATAAAGATCAAACGATTTGCAAAATATAAGTAGGATTTCATTTTATCAGTCAAACAATGTCGGAGCCTACAAAGCGCGTGGCGGTCATTGGAGCAGGAGCTGCAGGTTTGAGTGCCCTCCGGAATCTCCTCACCACAACCAAGACGTTTATTCCAACCTGCTTTGAAAGGGGAAGTGACGTAGGTGGACTCTGGTTGTATAACAGGAACACTCATACCGATGACAATGGAATGCCTGTGTTCTCAAGCGTATACCGGGATTTATCGTGAGTAAAACAATATCGTAACATTAAGATTTCTTCGATTTTGAATCGCATGTGATCAAAAGGTGATAAGTGGCTCATCGGTCAGCATGCTGACCTTAAACCTTAGCATCAGTTTTACTAGGGTCAAAGTATGTTGCATTATTCCTTATGACTTCATTATGTGTATGCATTCAATTAAGACACAATGAGTTTCGGTTTTAATAGGAAGTATAAATATGTATAAAACCATTTTTGGCAAAGTTGCGAAATATAAAGACTACAATACAAACTTAGTATTGACACTCGGCTAAACGCTATTTTGTAAATAAAAGTAAATGAAAAGCAGAAATGGGAACTCCAGCTTCATAAATGATTATAAACATTAAGTTTTCACGTTTCACAATGCAACTAGTCATTATAGGACTGGCGTTTTTAATCTTTTGTTGTTGTTGTTGTTATGCTTGCTGGGTTTTTTTTCTTTGTTTATTGTTTTTTTGTGGGTTTCCTTTCTATTGTGGGTATGTATTCAAATGAAGATTGATGAGCGAATTTGCTTATGTTTTAAGAACCAATATTCCTAAGGATTTGATGGCTTTTCCTGACTTTCCTCATAAAGATGGTCCATCCTACCTCTCCCGACCCGATGTGTGCGACTATTTACAGAGATATGCAGACAGATACGACCTCCGAAAGTATATTAAGGTTTGTTTTACAGATGCGAATAATTTAATATTTTCATTTCGGTCTGGTTTGGTTAGAAAACATTATATCTCGTTTATATCATTGAAGAACAATTGACGTTTTTCATCAGAAGTTAATGTTTACGAAAAAAATATAAATAGCAAACAAATAATTTAGATTAAGTAGTTATATATTTTTATCATAATGTATGATTGACAGAAATAAGATTTGCCTCCGACACAAATAACTGAGATGATTTTTATCAACTTTCCAGTTCATTACAATGTATCATCAATTTTCTTCAGCGGGTGCCATGTATATGAATCGATTTTAGATGTTGGAAATTCCATTACATTATCAATTTCTCCATAGATGAACACGTTTGTTCAAAATATTCGGCCCAATTGCAAAGAGAGCAATACGAAATGGACTGTAAGCTATTTTGATGTGAAACAAAAGGAGGAGATACACACAGACGTGTTTGACGCCGTCATTGTATGCAATGGGTGAGAGATGTTATTAAAAAATATTTTTGTTGTGATCAGGATGATTCCTTAACGTGTTCTCACTTACAATAAGCAATGCTCATCGATTGTAATGTGTTGTATCATTATAGTAGAATGTAAAACCTTATCGTAAACAAGTGTTTATGAATTATGACGTACGGATATAAATATAAGCACCCCACCCCTATAGACCTTCAGCGTTTGTGACTGTAATAATATATGATAATGTAAAATTCGTTCAATACATTTGTGTATTGCTTACAAACGGCTACACATAAACATGTTCTTTATTCTTACCTCAAGTCACCAGGAAAAAGCCTACTCGCCGGATATCGAGGGTCTTGACCAATTCAAAGGTGAAGTCCTCCATAGCCATAACTACAGAACACCCGAATACTTCGCTGGCAAGAACGTTGTTATACTGGGAGCTTCATTTTCTGGACAGGATTTGGCAGTTGGGATATCGTCGTTCGGGAAAAAGGTATTATTATTTTCTTTTTAATATTTAGTAATTTTCCACGAACATGGATGATAAATAATTCATTTTGCATACCTTGCTAGTGATTACGTTTTCAGATAATACAATACCACGCGCATTACTTCACAACTTGGCGAAACCAGATAATTACCTCAGAAACCAGGACAAATTTCTGTTCTGGAACTTTTGAGGTTTTTTTTTACACTGATAAAACGACGTCAAAATTGAGTTCTGGACATCATTTGTGTCATGTAATCGTTTATCCCACATTGTTTCCCGGTTCAGGCTATGTGTTATGAATATTTGATAAATATTAAGAAAGCTTATTTTTATTGCTAATGCAGATTTTCCTTAGTCATCTGAAGGACCCCCTTCTAACAGTGCTGCCTGCAAATGTGATGGAACGAACGGGTATTAAGCGTATGACGAAGAGCAGGGTAGTTTTCCTCGATGATACAGAGGAAGAAGTGGACGTCCTCCTATTCTGCACTGGTTTCCAAACTCATTTCCCCTTTCTGTCCAAAGACATCATCCAGGTCATCTCTGAACGCGTCACCCCTGTGTACAAGCACATTATACACATCAAATACCACACCTTGTTATTTGTAGGTATCCCGAAATTACTGTGTTATTTCCCACACAGTTTTGAAATAGCCAGAGCAGTGGTCAACATTTTGAATGGTAATGTCGCATTACCTTCAGAAGACGAGATGTTGGAAGATGCCGAAAAAGATTTCGCTCAGAGGAAAACAGAGGGACTTGATGATGCCAAAGCTCACTTCATGGGAGACGGAGATCGACAGTGGCGTTTTAACAAGGATATAGCAAAGATGGCTGGCTTTAAACCGCTTCCTACTGCCTTCCAGCGCCTCTGGGATTACGTGACGATTCAGAGAGATAACCACTTCCTCACTTTTCGCAAACAGAATTTTAAAATAATTGACTCAGAGACATTTGTAGAAGTAAAATGAAGTCTGTGACTCCAGGATAGATGACGATGTCATCGCTGATTATTTCGATGTGTGAAAAATCAGATAACACTGTTTTTATTGTCATAAGCATAACAAAAGCTATTAGATTTTGGCAAAGAAATTCAAAGATATTTAGAAACAATGTAACAGACTTTGTATTTATATATAGCATAAACAGTAAATAAACATGAATTGATAGATATACGTTTACTCATAATATTAAACAAACATTATGATATTATTTTCTTATTTTCTTATTTTCATTTCAAATTCGTTGTTCCTTTATTTTGTACCAGAATTGGGATCAAACTAGAAATTCAATAGTTAATGATCAACTCCTTCAAAATGTCAAACATAAGCCATGTGAATGTTAAGTGACATTTTGAGAAGACATATAAGTGTAAAAGCATACCCGTTTAAAACATTTCTGCTGTATAAGAAATGCACTCATATCGCATGTTATCCTGTTCTGAAAGTTTTGTAATGTTTATTAAAGCTATTGCCGAACTTTTAAAGTACGTTTTTATCACTTGTACATCATCCGTTTTATATCTTCTAATTTTAAAGAACTATAAAACATTGATTACCCTACGGCTTGCGACTTACATGTAACACGTACATAGGCATAACAAATAATTAGCCAATATCAACACAGTCACATTGGGCCTCACTGCGGGCTGATATAGCTCCGATTATACAAACAAAACACTTTTTTTGATTACGAGGACCGTGTAGTAGAACCGAACCCGGCATATAAAGTGGGAGTGACGAATGAGCCAGAATGTTTACATAACCTAATACCTTTGTACCCATTGCATGTTGAATGTGAATTTGCATTACATTGACATCAACATATCAGCCCATACACCAGTGGTATATGACCTAGACTATGAGTCGCGGAATCAATGGGGTTCTTGTCGGGAGAAGTTTAGCAGACTGATAACCTTGATAACGTTTCAGAGTGTCTTCAAAATATAGTTCCGGATATCTGTGTGTATAGAGTGCATCTACAATTCAGGATCGACGCTCATACCTAAGCCTGTCTAACATTTAATTGGTTGTGAGTAGTGCATTGCTCCTGTTTTGTGCGGTATTAAAACAACAATGATCAATAATTACTTCTTGTAAACTGAACAATATTTTGAGTAGTAGCTATACATATTGTAACGTGTCAGCCCCGCAAAATGGGTGATTTCAACCACCTGCAGCCGATTTGTTTACATATCGCCGTGCGCCTGTGTGACGGGTTTTCACTACATAAATAACACCAATGTCCATTTATTAGTTCAAAATGTGTTTGTGCATAAGTTTTAAATGGTGATTATTCAAATTACAACTACAGAACATTGTAGATATGATTTCTAACTTCCCTGCTAATTTCGTGTTATATCGACCTCTCGTTAGCATCTCAAACACCTCTCAAGACCGCCATTTTGGAAGCTGACTATGCGAGATGCTCGAAACTACGTACATTGATTCTATAACTTCCTAGGGTTGTAAGTCACTGTAGATTGATGGACATTAAGTAATTATGATATTTAAAAGAGTATGCTAACCCTTTTGGATACTGTTTATGTCTTTTAACGATGTCTTAGATGTTTAGTCAGTCGGAGAGGCCTCTCGGACCTCTCTCGGCGACCTCTTAAGCGTTTCGATAACTCTTACCGGCGTCTGACGTCACTACCGCAGGAAATTCCCTAAACTTAGTATTTTTAATCCATAACCTTAGCGGCATTAAATAGTAGTTATACATGTATTCTTTTACTCTGTAGCATTATTTTAATGTAAAGCACTTATTGTTTGAGCGGATATTATGAGAGGCCGTGTGTGATAAGGTTTTATTACTTTTACATGCAATCCTATGAGAAAGTGTCTCCGGACCTCTCCCGTCTAATCACCAGACCTCTCCTGAGTAATAATATTTGGAAGGTTATAAATACAGGTCGGATCAGACCTTTTTCTTTAGTTCATCACTGTCTTCGCTAGCAGACGGTCGCCTCTGAACAGGTCAGACTTAGGAATCTCATACTTTGGGTTTATGCTTACTGCTTACGTCATTTATAGTTCTAATTGTAGACACAGTCATCGAATATAAGGGGGAATCCCGGTATTTGGCTATTTATTGCTGGTCTGCATATCAGATTATGATTTAGGTGACTTAGAATATTAGGCTCTGGTGATTAGTGGGACATTGGTACAGGAAATACGGTCAATTAGTGTATAATTTGGGAATAGTTGTGTATGTCTGGTTATGTGTTTTTGTCCCCTAACGAGTCAAACCCGAGTCATTAATATTGATACATGAACTTTCTGGTCTCTGCTTTACATTCAGCTTTAAATGTGTATAGGTAAATATATGTTAGCACATTGGTAGTATTATCCCACCAAGCGAGTAGAGCGCCATGCTACCGTATCAAGGTAATGACATTGATTTATATTGGCGTCATTATCATTTGACACCGTCTTCATGTGATCTTACCTATTGCGAGGATGCCAAATTTGCAAGCAAGCGACTTTTAAACTGATTTGAAATTTTCATCAACTCATACAATAACATTAAATTGAATTGAACATCAATCAAAGGACTATACGAATACCTAGCAATGTGATCATATAGGATATCACAATATGGCGGGGGGG